GGTTCCTGGGATAGTGTCAGTCTGTCGAGGTTTTGTGGGATTTTTCGTTTGGTAAAAAGGATAGCCGAACTTTTGTTGGGATTAATTTTGAATTTTCACCTGTTGCACCAGGTTTCAAGTTGGTCTAAGGAACCTAACGATACCCTATAGTCCCTATACCATGCCACGGTCCGTCTTTTTTACGGACCGTGATACCATGCGTGCTGCTGGAGGAATATAATATATACCCTCCTATACCTCTCTCTCTACGACCTACGCTACACTCTCGGCCAATAGGACGTTGCCTTGCTCTTGATAAACGAACGCTTATCACCGCACATCGTGGAGACGGTGGCGCGAGCGAAGACCACCAGGGCTAGGCTCTATCCCTTACTCAAAGGTGGAAACACCCTCAGTTTAAGGAATAAGCGAACGCTTATCAAGGTGGTACTTCAACCGCAGCTAACCTACGCCTCCACGGCGTGGGGTCACGCGGCAAAAAGCCACTTAAAGTCATTACAGGCTGTGGAAAACATAGCCCTCCGCACGGCCACCGACGCGCCCTGGTACGTAAGAAACACTGACATATTACGAGACTTACAATACACAAACGCTACACAGACAATAAGACAAAACGCGGAGAAACGATTTGACGTAGCCGCTAGACATGANCTACCTACCTCTGATCACATTTTTTATTAAAGAAAAAAAAAAAACAAAACATTTTATTATTAATAAAAAAATGTGATTATATGATGATCAGACATTATTATGTTATATAAATAAATGTGAATGAAATATCTAATAAAACACACTAAAAACACAAATAAAACACACACCAGCACTTGCCAAACCTAACCAACAATAAACATAAACAACATGAATGACATGAAATGATTCATAACTGCAATTGTCAAAATTTATTCTACAAAATTTTTGTGGTGACATCTATAGACTCTTTCCCCAACTTGTATATCCATCTCAAGTCACGTGGTTCCCAGTGTCCCCATATTTTCAAGTATAAGTTCTCGGGCCCTGCAATATTGTCAATGGTAGTGTTGATATTTAATATATGAATATGTGAATTTTTAAAATAGCACCAAAAAGTTGTATTTTAATTTTACGAATGACGACTGCAAATCAACAAATTCTTTAAAGTCGAATCGATAAAGAAATTAGAATGGAAAACGAAGGCAAAGATTGTCCTGTAGAGACTATTGAATCATTAACTAAAGAGGCAGAGGCTTTAAAAAAGAGATTAGAAGATGAGAGACAAAAGTTGAATGATGTTACATGTAATATAAAATTTATATAAAGATAAAATCACTTCAACAAATTTTTTGCAGTGGCTACCGTAGCTGACCGATTAGACATAATAAATTATATGAATATAAAACCCAGACGGACACTAAAGGGTCATCAGGCTAAAGTGTTATGTTCAGATTGGTCTCCAGATAAGAGACATATTGTTTCTTCTTCTCAGGTAATTGTAGACAATGCTAGGAAAATATTTGGATTGCATGATTACTGAAGACCTTTATTCTATTATTACTTACCATTTTAATTCATGACTTTATTAGACTTGATTGAAATTTAATGTAAACAAAAAAAAATCACGAGCACTAAATAATTGCTCGAATCAATATACAACCTGGATGCGAACAGTCACTAGTTTATGATAGTTGGTATTTTCTTTGTAACGACTAAGATAGAAATGGAAAACTATCGATTAAATTGTGGATTTCGTCAAATTTATTTTGTTGACATCTTCGTTTTAAGCACCAGGAAGTGCAACAATTATTTATGTTTTCATTTTATTGTATGTACTCGTATAAGTGGAAACTATTCTTGCAGAACAATCTTTTTTTTTATTAGATTGATTTTATAATTTAATTCAAACGAAAAAAAGTATTTTCCCAAAATATTGGAAAACAGGTAAGTACCTAGAGAGAAATTAAAGGCTGAAAATGTTGAGGTTTTAAGCAACATTTTTTATTTTAAGGTATTTGGCACCTTTTTAAAGAATATGAAAATCTAAATCCTCTGTTTTTATTTCCCCTCAAATTAATTGTTAGTTACAAATTCAGTATTTTTAAGAAATGTCGTTATCCATTCTATCTAAATTTTTAAAAAAAAATTTTTTTTTAAATTCTATCTAAATTTTTCTTGAGAAAAGATATCTACTCCACAATGCAATTATAATTATTTGTGGCTCAAAATTTTGGTTACAAACTTTTAAAATGTCATAAAGTTTCATTTTTGTTACTAATAACCCAGTGGTTTTCAGTTTTCAGTTCTCGAGAAATAGAAAGATATGTGTGTGCATGTGAGTGAACGCAAGAGATGGATACTAAATCGAAAAACGATTTCCTATACCATTTACTTTTTTTTATTGCCTTTTCAATTTCAATATCTGTGATTTGTGAAATTTATGATTATCGTGGCATCTGTTGTATTATGCATAATGTTCAGGGTTACAAATTAGTTCATCCAAATATTTCAAGTATTAACTCATTTCAGAAATGATATGAAAACATCTATATCCATTTATTATTTATTTACAAATAATAAGTAATATTCTCTTTTCTTGTATTACACATATAAATATTCATGTCAATATGTTGATTTTTGCGTGCGTTTTTGGTAAAGTGTTAATTGTGTGGTAGGATGGTAAAATGATAATTTGGGATGCTTTCACAACTAACAAGGAACATGCCGTTACGATGCCAACCACTTGGGTCATGGCTTGTGCTTATGCACCTTCAGGGAATTTGGTTGCTTGCGGGTATATCGGTTTTGTTATAAATTTTACTAATTAAGTAAATATATAATTTTTTAGGGGCCTCGATAACAAAGTGACTGTTTATCCTTTAAGTCTGGATGAAGATGTATCCCTTAAGAAGAAAACTGTTGGAACTCATACAAGCTATATGAGTTGCTGTATTTTTCCAAATTCGGATCAGCAGGTAAAGTGTTAAAAGGCACTGTATCCAAGATTAAATTATTTCCGTAAATATTCTTGGGCGATAATACAATTTTTTAATGAAAATTTTATCTGCGATTTATATTTTTTTTTATATAGTTTCACATACCTTTGAATTTAAAAGGTATTTAATACTTGAACAATTTAGAAGAGGAAACTTGATTTTGGCAGTCTGTTGTCTATTTCAGATCTTAACAGGAAGTGGTGACTCTACTTGTGCATTATGGGATGTAGAGTCTGGTCAGTTGCTACAAAATTTCCATGGTCATTCCTCAGATGTTATGTCTATAGATTTAGCACCCTCAGAGACTGGTAATACCTTCGTTTCAGGTGTAAGTTAGCTAAAAAAATGCTGATTACGTATATACATATTCATATTATTTTTAGAGTTGCGATAAGATGGTACTTATTTGGGATATGAGGTCAGGACAGTGTGTACAATCCTTTGAAGGACATGAATCTGATGTGAACAGTGTAAAATTTCATCCTAGTGGTGATGCCGTCGCAACTGGAAGTGATGATGCCACTGTAGGTTTAATATTTATTAGCTCTAGCACTAAGTATTGGCCCAATGAGCGGGAAATGAGATTTCATATTATTTATCTGTAAATACTGATTAACTTCATGTATACAGATAAATAATATATAATTGTTCTTATAAAAAAGAGGGGTTACTTTATTATTAGAGAGACATGTTAGGAGATAAGAATGCAGAGCATATTAAAACGATTTTTTTTAGTGTCGATTATTTGATCTAAGAGCTGATAAAGAAGTGGCAATATACAGCAAAGAAAGTATTATATTTGGTGTTAATTCAGTCGATTTTTCTGTATCAGGTAAATTATCTATATCTTGAATGGTATAAAAAAAAATTTTAGAGGTGTGTCTGTGATAATTAATTATATTTATTGATTTATACTAGGACTGTGGATTAATTTTGAGGTTTTTTTTTTTGTAAATTCAAGACTTTATTGTGAAAAATTGTGTACCTACATTATTATTTTTCAAAGTATTGACCATGGCGCTAGCCACTACTTTTTCTCATATTTCCGGCAGCATACAGATTTTTGATACTATTCACCAATCGAAACCAATTTTGCATATCTCTGTAAGATTGGAAGCGCTATTTAGCCAGACCTTGTTCATTGATCGGAACAAGTAGTAATCTGATGGAGCAATATCTGGTTAATATGGTTGGTAGGGTAAAACTTCCTCTTTCAGCGTTTCTAAATATTTTTTTAACTGCATGAGCAACATGTGATCGAGCGTTGTAATATTGAAAAATTACTTGATCGTTCTTTTGCTCGAATTGCCATTTTATCTTCAAATGCACAGCTCAAACACATCAATTGTGTTCGGTAGCATTCACCAGTGATGGTTCACGATTTTCTACATTTAGGATTATTATAGCATGTCCATTTTCCATTGCTAGCGATAATACGATGCAAAAAACCCTTTCTTTTTTACCGTTGAAGCAATTGTTCACAAGTGAAAAATCACGGTTCAACATCCCTCAGCTTTAATTCGGATAGCGCCCAATTTCCTGGCTTTTGAATCATACCGAGTACATTTACACGTTTGGAAACTGTTGTGCAATCAACATTCAACAATTCAGCAAGTTCATGTTGTTTTGACATGAACCTTGGTTGAGTAATGATTGCAGTTCCTCATTTTTTAATTTTTTCGATTGACTAGGGCCTTCTTTGTTAACTGTATCAAAAGTACCACTTCTAAAATGGCAGAACTAATACTCACACATTTTTATTGATGGAGTATGTCTATCGTAGTTTCCAATAGCACTCAATGACTTTCAGCAGCACTTTTCTTTGAATTAAACAGGAAAATTAAGAAAAATTAAGACAAATGGTGTTTTGTTGGCACGACATCTTCGGAGCTGAGAAAAAATATTTTGTTTACACTTCAGCAAAATGAGACATAATAAAAAATAAAGCCTAATGACAGAGCTTTGACATGAATATAGTTACAGAAGTTTCTAATGCGATATAGCATAAGTTATGCCATTTATTGGAAATCTCAAAATTAATTCACAACCATCACATAATTCTTTAAACTGAGGTTGGAACCTTTTAATTCTGTCTTTCAATACCTTCATTTTTTTTTTTTTTTAGGGCGGTTATTGTTTGCCGGATATAATGATTATACCGTTAATGTTTGGGATACTCTAAAGTGTGTTAGAGTATGCCTCCTTTATGGACATGAAAATAGGGTGTCTTGCTTACAAGTTTCACCTGATGGCACGGCTCTCTCTACAGGCTCTTGGGACTATACATTACGAGTAAGTTTAATCATTTGTTTATAAAATATTATTGTAGTTATGTAATTGTTATTATAGTTGACATTATTGATTCATTTTTAATTTTTTTTAGTAAAAAAAATATTTAGAGAAGTTTTAACTCTTCGTAGAAACAAATTTTGATCATAAAACGATACTTTATTATTCTGTCACTACTGTACAAGTGTACATTAGAATGTTTTAATAACCTTATACAGTCATTAGTTTTATTACAATTTTTTTTTGTATTATTGTATTCACTTACAACCGGATTCATGAAAGAGGCGTAAGGCGTTAGTCGGACTAAGGAATTTTGCGCCTGTGTAAACCTATTCACAAAAAAATGAGCTATCCTTGCACTAATAGTTACGCCAAAATTTAGATCTACATATTTACATAACATGCATAAAAATCGTGCGACTTAAGTTGCAGTTTATTGTATAAGTATATAAGTAATCCCAGTGCTTAATAATAGTTTAATCACAGAACAAGATTTTTATGCATGTTATGTAGGTCTAAATTTTGGCGTAATTATTAGTGCAAGGATAGTGCATTTTTTTTTTAATAGGTTTACACGGCCACAAAATTCCATAGTCCGACTAATGCCTTACGCCTCTTTCATGAATCCGGTTGTTAGTGTTCAAAATTAGTTGTGAATCATGATCATGATCAATTATAAACTATCATATGAAGTTTCATATTAGCATCAATCAATTTTAACACTTTTAACTGCTGCTGTCTCCATCTACCTGTTTAAAGTTATATTTTCACATAAGGTACATTTTTTTGATAATGTGTTTTATATTTATGTTATTCGCAATAACTAAAATCGCGCACTGGCCGATTTTTTTGTCCGAAACGTGTCATAGGTAAGGTAATATGCTGACGATGCGTTTAGAGTCTTTATTTTCGAACAGTGAGTAAAGCAAATTAACCAGAATGCGTTGTAGGTAAAGAATGTTACCCACAACTCGAAATAAGTGTTTGCATGCTTTTATTTTACGCTAAGCATTTCTTTTGCCCATGTCGCATTATGGCTATTGTATTTTATCCCGAACGCGTTGCAAGTAGATTGCTTGTTATGTTTTAATGAGACACTAGTGGTAAGTGCTAGGGAATTTTCATATGTTATTGTGGTTCTCGTAAATTCTTCGAGATGTTGATGATGTAATAACATATATTCTATGATATCTACATTTAAATAAACACTTTATTATTTTTTGTATTCATTGTTTTAATCAAAACACATTCTAGGTAAAACGCAATAGCCAGAATGCGACGTGGGTAAAAGAAATGCTCCACAAGGCAAGCAAAAGCGACTGAACACTTATTTCGTGTTGTGAGTGACATACTTTACCCACAACCCGTTTTGGTTAATTTGCTTTACTCACTGTTCGAAGAAAAACTCTCTAAACGCATCTTGGGTAAATTAACATACGCATAACGCATTATGGAGAAAAAAATCGGGCAGTGGGAGATTTCGGCTATTGTGAACAACATATACAGGTATACTCTAAACTATTTTTATTTCAATAATAGTTTTATAAGTAAAACCCATGTAAACCTTTTTGTTTTAGGTATGGGCCTAGAATAACACAAATCAAAGTATATATCAGATTTTCTAATTAGATGCAATATTATTCTTCAAAGGACCTATTTTGTTGTGAATACTCTGTGTAAATTGTTATTCCAATCTACTTGCTGATTGTTGTATTCACAGGATCTTGATATCTATCAAATTAATTTTCTTAAATTACAATTGGATCCTTTGGTGTATTATTAGAAACAAAATGTATTGCACAAAAAGGAAAATACTATTCTTCTATTAATATGCTAACCACTGTAGATGATTAAAAAATATATGTATATACAGTTCAACTTATTTTATCTGGTCGATAAAGATCGGGCACTATTGGCAAATTGTAGGTAATTTCATTATCGAAAAAAAAAAATTATGTAAATAATTTGTTTTAATGCATGCATATCAAGGGATTCACTCATTCTTGCTTTCTCTCTCAATTGTACTTTAATTCCTACCATGCAACCCTCTTCTTTTTATGTACACTCTCATTTTTGCACATCTCAGGGGCCAGATGAAATGGGTTGAACTGTAGTGTTGTAAAATGCTCGAAAATTTTTATCAAGCACAAACGAGAATAAATAGGTATAAACACGAAGAACGTGCAGATTTATGTTCTATATCAGGGGTCAGCAAGTAATTTTAGGTGGAGTCCGGATACTTTTGAAATTTTTTAACGAGGTCCAGAAAAAAATTCATATTTCTTACTAATTTTTTATTTTCATTTGCATTAAGAACTCAAATCAGTCACAATTGTAAAATACTAGAAAAAATGATAAGGTGGCATTCAAACGTAAAAAAATATTTTTTAAATAATTTGAGTAATTTATATTTTCAAAAAATATTTGGCGGTCCAGTATTTTACCTTCGCCAGTTGCCGACCCTTGTTCTATATAATATAATTGTTATAAAATTAAGAAATGAAAGAAGAAGAAAGAAATTATATTTAAGATTTTTTGAAAATTATGAAAATTTTCATTATTCTCGAACATTCTCATGAAATGTTAAATGTTCTCCAATTTTCTCAAAAATACTGAAGTGCTCCATATTTTTCAATATCTGCAAAGGCAGTAGTAGTTATTAAAGTGCGGCAGGCTGCATAAATGAATGTTTCACCATATCAATTTCCGTGTACAGGGTGATTCACTATATTTTGACCCCCCCCCTTTAACTTTTTTGTTTTAAGAGATAAAAAAATGTGAAATATAAAACTTGCAAGAGTTTTTATGAATTTTTCGAAAATGATAGTAGAAAAACAAATGAAGTCCAAACAAAATGGCCACACATGTTAACTTTGTTAAGTTAAATTGAACACCCTATATATTTTTACATATTTGGATAGAACGTTCCCTGTCGAACATAGTCATGTAGGGTTTGTTGTGTCCATCTCTAGCAATAAGCGAGATACTGTTAAAAAACGAAAAGGTTTTTTATTAAGAAAATAAGATATCTTGTAATTGTTAAACTACTTTCAGGCATTTCTGCCTTTTTCCAATTATGTAAGGATTTACAGATTTAGTTATAATATATTTTGACAGATCGGACATTGATATGGTCCAAAATGCGTATAGGTATTTTAACTAAATCTCACTAATTAGACCGTGAGAGGCCTAATTACTCATGGACAATGTTATATGGTAGGCCGTGACAATGACAGGTAATGTCATGACAACATTGTTATTGTTTGACAGTTTGTATTATTATTCAAAATATAGTGAATCATCCTGTACACATAGTGAGACAATTTTTAACAAAGCACATGATTATTGTTTCCCATATTCTTCCCTTGACAGATTTTACTACCTGCTCTAAAGGGAAACTTTAATTAGGAAGAAGAGATAAAAAAAAACAAGTTATAACTACATGAATATCAGTAACCTTTCAAGAGTATTCCCAATCCCAAGTCCAAAGTACTTCAAAGGTGATGACGGAAAATAGATTTATGAGTAGGATCTTTGGTAATGTTTGCCTGAAAATGACTAAAATTTAATATCTGCAATTTTTTCCCTTTGATTCAAGTGTTTTTGAGGATATTCATAAAGGCCGAGCATTGACAAGAAGCTAACACATAGTGGTGAAGATATTAAGAGATACAATTTAAATCTATAAAAAAAATATTACTATTATAATAAAAAATAATTTACCTCAAGTACCATTTCGTGTATCGCCTACCACCAGTTCAGAACTGCTGCTAACAATAAGCAACTTGTGACATTTGAGAGAATAGAAATTTCAAAATGTAAAAAAATAAGAGTAGGCTCTTACAGTCGCCTTATTTGTTTTAATTTTGGTTTAGTGGATTAAAAAAGAATAGTATTATCTCATTTTGTGGAAGTGTTGTTTGCATGAAACTGAATGTGAAGAACCAAGGTAGTCTTTTTTTGAGAATATGTAAAATAATATGCTAGATACAGGCTGTAACAATGATGTGTTAAAAATGAGGAAGCGTTTTCCACTTCTAGGATATCAAGCTTTTATGCATAGTTTTACAATATGTTTAAAATTGGAATTATTTCAATAATTTTACAAGCGTTCAAAATAATATTCTTGTGCTTCAATTTTTATTATCTATCTTCATTTGACATTTTTCAGGGGCTTCTGTTTGTCGAAAAGAAGAAAAATAGTTTCCGTGTTACATGCTTACTTTTTAGAAAAGTCAAATGGCAAAAGCTGCATCTCTATTCTTAGAATCATTTAAGATACGGGGCATTTTTCAGTTTTGGTCGTTTTCTATGATGCCCTGAAAATTTTTGTTTGTGAGAAAATTTTATTTTTGTGAACAGATTTTTTTATGTAGAATCGTTGAGCGAGAAATAGTATTTCCTCACTCAATGGTAGAATCCAGTGGCGTGTGTGATATTGTGTAATTGTAAAATTTCTGATTTTAAATTATAACACAAACTTATTATTTTTTTAACTGAAGCATGTTTTCTGATTTTTGAAATTTGTGCAAAAATTCTATCCAAATGATCATACTCATGATATTTGCACAAAAAATACTTTTCATGGTAACAGTAACACTAAAAATATTTTTTTTGTAAATCATTGTTTCTTGATACAATTCAATGTACCGTCCATTTGTTCATTAGTACATCAAGTATGGCACACTTAATTGTATTAAGAATTACAAAAATAAAAAATATAATTTCTGGTGTTTACTTCTTGAAAGGTATTTTTTGCGGAAATAATGTATTATCATTTGAGAGGAAATTTTACACATATATCATAAATTGAAAAATAAAAATGGTGTTTTAATTTAAATAAATATAAGTTTGTCTTTAACTGAAATATCGAAGGATTTAGAAAATATCATGTACACTGTTGGCTTCTATGTAATAAACCTCTTTAGAAAAATCTAATATTTTCACAAATAAAAAAGTTATGGAGCATCTTAGAAAACATCCCAAATTGAATATTGCCCTGTACTTCTTATGCACTCAAGATGTGAGATGTGTTTTTTTCCATTGAATTTTTCTTGAAAATCAAGTCCACAATATCAAACTACTTTTTTTTCTATCTCTTCAAGAAACAAAATAAATCGTCTAAAATTGTCGAATTTAGCTGACCCTGTGCACAAGATATTTAAACATAATTTTTTATTTTGAAAACTAAGATCTTAAATATATAGGAAAACTCCAAATTTTTAACCAAGTAGTTGCGTTGCATCCTGTACATATGAAATTGCAGCTTTTTACAAGCATTTATTTTAAAAACTACAGAGGGCACAAATTAAGATGGATTTATTTTAATAAAATTATCTTGTTTAATTTCTAATTTCAATGTTTTCAGCAACACAGGTAATGTGTATAAATAAGAAGCCCGCTATTTAGAAAGTTGTATGCCTAAAAATGTCCTATGACTAAAAAGGTTAAATTAAATCCTAAAATACCTGAATGCCCTGAGGTTGATTTTAAGTATCATCAGTTCATTAATTTTGAAGAAGTTAATGCTAAATTAATTTTTATCTCTGTAGTATTTATTATAAATGTTATTTTTAGTGCAATAGAATTCTAATTCGTAATGTTACAAGAGCTTGTCTGTACTAATCACGTAATAAAAATACAAAGATTTATGTTCGTTTTAAATTTATAGTTTAAACTTGCCTTTGTCGTCTTAACTATCCCTAGTGGCGTATATACGAGATGTTTCATTCATTTTCAATTATACAGGGTGCCTCATTCTTCTGCGTGTTGCCTAACTTAATTTTTTCAATACTTATTGTATTTCTGCATTTTTCATTGAATTTGAGGTTTACTTTGATACACAAATGTTAGGTTTATAACGTAGTGTTTCAGTGTTATGTGATGTTGGAGTTTGAAGCATATTAGAATATATTGAATATCTGTTCACAATTTTTTTCAAGTATAAAGAAAACTTCTACATTATTTGATACATAGTAATCAAGTAGTTCAAAGTTTTCAATCATGCATATTTTGATTTTTAGTTAATGGAAAATTTGTTTTTAGAGTATTGAGGTACATTGGGGTCAGTTTCTGGTAGTTTGTCAAATATTTAAGGTTTTTTATGTTCTTTTTATTGTTATTTCTGCATTAAGGTTTGAAAAGAATGTTTGAGCATTGTTTATCGGATATGTTACATAAATATTAGAACAGTTACATAAATGTGCAAATAATTACGAGTTTATAAAAAGGTCTTGGTTCTAACTTAGCCATAGTCTTTTTAGGACAAAGAAGTTAAACCTACAGATTTCATTGTGAACATTTGTAAAATTTCCAACCTAGTCATTCCTAGGGAGGTCTTAAGACCTACCTTGAAAGTTCCTATCTTTTGACTTGGGACGAAAACATGTATGCATGTGCAAGTCTGTTATTGGATGGCCAGTTCTTAACATTAGGTTAAGACCAAATGTTTATAAACGTAGTAAAAATATTAGAATTAATATTAAGGTAATGTTATGGCTAACTTAAGATTAATATCTTTTTACAAACCCATAACAAATTTTTTTGTCAAAGCAACCATAATTTTTAAGAAATTATGATCATGCTAAGTCAGTATATTGCCTTAAAAATGTGTACTAATAGTACAATAAAATGGAAATACATGTATTAAAAAAAAAACACTAAAAAGATCTAAATAATACTGTTCAGTGTCTTAATAATTTTGGCGAAGAATTAATTTTATTTGCAAATTTTCATAAGGTCAGATTTTGTTAGACAGAAATAACACATAAGATAGGTTTTTTCGTGCTTGGATTTTTTTAATCATCATCCAAATGATGCGTTTTAGATCCAATATCTGTTTTTCAGAATATGCTTTAAATTGATTGAGAAATTTAGACATACAGTGTGTTCCTTGATAAAATGAAGTTAGCCCAGAAGAAATGGTACTAGATCTAAAATGAGATTATGTATTCTAATATTTTAAAGCACCCCACACAAACCTTATAGGAAATGGCTCCCGGTTAAGTTGGCCAAATTTTTTATATGTTACGTATTTTGGCATCCTGAACAAATGTCTTTCTAGGGCTCAGAAGCCCAGAACTCTACGAGTTACGAGATAAATCCACCTAACTCTTAGAAACCTACCAAACCACAAGCAGGCTAACCCACATTAGCCTGGGAACAGCGAGTTTAGTCGCTTATTTTTCTTTAAATAATTGAATTTTGCACCACAAGCCGGCTAACCTGCCAAGAAAAATAATCGACTAAACTCGCTGATTCCAGGTTTAGGCGAGTTGGC